TTCCAGAACCATGCCAAACAGCGATGGGGAGTTCTACCCATCGCTGATTAAAGCCCTGGTGCAAAATTATCACAAGGCAGAACAACCTTGCCCAGCGATGGGAGACCTATCCCATCGATGGGAACCCAGCGATGGTAAGGGTAAACCATCGATGGGAAGCCATGACCGTTGTAGGTCATTTAAGGTTGATTCTTTCCTTGTTTGGAAGTCAACCTCCCAACCAGCGATGGGAAGCTTGTACCCATCGATGGGTAGGTGACCGTTGACTTCAAACCTGAAGAAAAATTGGCTTACCATCGATGGGTAAGTCCTAAACATTGATGGGAAGCCAATATTCTGCAGATCCCAAATTTATTCAATCCCATAAATCAAGCCAATCACCCCTTTAATGTAGTGGTCCGTTGGAGCCTATTTTGGCACTATAAAAAGGGGTGTTTGGGTCTGCTTTTCTCACCAATTCACTTCACAACATCTATACTTTCATTGCATTCAAATATCATCATTTTCCATAGCTTTCTAGAGCCATTTGTGTGTGAAGGTTGAGTTGTTCTTGTGCGTACTTAGTTTACTCATAATCTACTCTATAAGAGAGTCTCGTTCTTGAGTGTACTTGTGTTCTTAGACACGTTGAGAGATAGTATCTCTCTCGGTTGATTCAAAGGAAGGTCTGTTTCCTTTGAAGGATTCGTTGAGGTTCGTGTGACTCGAACTCTCAAGTTGTAACGGTTTGTTAAGCACCCGTAAGCTTAACGAGATAGTAGCGTAGCTCGAGAGAGTCTCTCGGGAGGCTGGATTAGCCACAAGTTGTGGTGAACCAGGGTAAAATTCGGTGTGCCTCTTACTCTTCTCTTTACTTCTCTTTTATTTTTTTAATTCCCGCGATTTCTCCGATCAAACGCTATTCACCCCCCCTCTAGCATTGGTCTATTATTCTAACAGCAGCTAGACTACCGTTCTGTTGCCAAGAAAAACTTATAGTAGTCTGTTTTTTTCCAACTACTGTGTTTCCATTAACAGTAGTTAATCAAGAGTTGTCTGATACTGTTTTTGGCGTAGTGGAAGCTATGGGGGGGGGGGGGGGTTGACGAATATTAAAGATGAAATTAGAAACATTTGGGGTAGTCATCTTATTTCGAAGTCCTGGAAGAAATTCTGTAAGTCTAAGGGTAGAAGACAAATAACATTTGTCAAAGATATCAACATTAGATGGAATAATACTTACAAGTTGATAGCACAGATTCTAAGCTACAAAGAGGAACTTGCTGAATTTTTTAGGGATGAACTTTGTTTAATGATTTCACCTATTGAATTTGTTATTGTTGAAAAATTGAATGTCGTATTAGAAGTTTTTAATAACGCAACTCTTACTTTTTTGCATGTTTACCAACTAACTACAAATACACTTTTTAAAGAGTGCGTTACAATCGCAACATGTTTTCGTAAAAGTTTGGCTGATGAAGATTTGTACCCTTAGGTCTCTCCTATGAAAGATAAATGGTGTGCTTTATAATTGGACATTCCTGATATTTATAAAATAGGTATTATTTGTGATCCACACTTTAAGATTGAAAATTTTTAAATTCTAGTTGATTATTACTACATTTGTTTTTTAGATGAAAATAGTTATTACTACATCTTTTTAATAGAATGGGAAAAAGAAAGAGATAATGCTATAACTCGATCTTTTTGAGAATTTGTTTAAGGAATATCAAGGGTTATACGGTAATGTACCAGAAGAAACAGCACCACCTCCGCCCCCCAAATCAAAAAAAGGTTTTGAAGGAATAGTCGGTGGGCTTCTTGCAAAGAAAGGGAAGCGCCGTCGACGAGTTCAAGTGGTACAACAGTAAGCTCGCACAATGAACTTGCTATGTACCAAGGGGTGCCATGCGATTACGACGACGACGACGATGTGGAGTTTGACGTCCTCGGATGGTGGAAGCAGAATGAACACATGTTCCCATGTCTCGGAATGCTAGCAAGACAAGTGTTGTCTGTCCCGGTATCAACCGTAGCAGTGGAACGAGAATTCAGTACTGGCGGCAACATTCTAACCGACTATCGAAGTTGTCTTAACGCTGAATCTCTTGAAACACTTGTTTGCAACCAAGATTGGCTCTTGGCAAGACGTCGAGCTCAAGAGTCAGGGTACGAAATCAATTCGGAGCATTACATGAATGCAACCACAGATGCCGAGTTCTGAGGAATAAGTTATAAACTTTTTTTATGTTAATGTAGATATGTAATAATGTAAATATCTAATTAGTTTTTTAGGTGAGCGATATATAAGCTCTTTTGAGGGTTTCTTTACGGTTCTTTACCTCGTCGCTTTTTTTGAACCGTCAGGATATTAAATGTAGTTGTATTACTCATTTTACAATATTTAAATAACAACTACATTTTTAGATTTTTTATTTCATTCTTTCCTTTAAACTAATTTATAATTTTACACTTTAAAAATTTTAAAAAAAAGCAAAAAAAAATATTGGGGGTGGCCAAAACCGGCCGGTCCTGTATCGAAACCGCCGGTCCGGTCACGGTACCGGTACCAAGGGGTGGCGGTACCAGAACCGCCGGTTCCGGAACCGGAACTGTCCCGAAAACGTACTGTGTCCACCCCTAGTTGAACTAACTAATCGATTGGATTCAATCTTTTAATGTGGTTCAGCCCAAGTGTCTTATTGTCCAATCTAGTTGTCTTTACCCCATTCTAAATTCATCATGGTATCGTAGCCTAGTTTTGGCCCACCTCATTTGTCAAGGTGTCCGTCTAGATGTTCATTCCTAGCGGCCCGTTAGTCTTTAGCCCAGTTGTCCGTATGGAGTATGTATCTAACGGCCTGTGGCCCGTTTAACACGATTGCTCGTCTAGAAGTCCATATCCAGTGGCTCGTGGTCATTTAGGTGTTGGCACTCAAAAAAAATCAAGGGAATGAAAGTTCATTTGCAAGTGGTCAACCAGTTAGATTAAAAATAGCCCGGTTTTTCCACTTGAGGGGAAGTGTTAGAGTGTCATCCCACATCAGAAGTTCAATATTTTAATGTGGTTCAGCTCAAATGTCTTATTGCCTAATCCAGATGTCCTTAATCCATTCTAAATTCATCGCTAAGTTTTCCTACTTATAGGGTTTACACAAAATACTAGTTCTATTGTGGCAATTTTATAGAATGGTTACTATATCTAAGCAAATTTATTTTAGAATGAGACGAAATAAAATTAATTAGAGGGAAAATTATTTTATAATTTACTCCAAACAAAACTAACGCCCGCCAAAATTATACTCCTCCCTCCTTTCCCCATAAAATCTTGAACCCTATTCCTCTTTTGGTTCTGGCACTTTGTCGAACACGTGGGGTACCTCAGGAGCAGTAGCCTTCTCAACCAGAGCTTCAGCTTCCACAACCTCCTCTACATGGGGAGGTGATGTTTCAGAGGTAGAGGAGGATATCTGGCCTTTCTCCTTTCCTTTCAGTTCCACAGCAATGTCTGTACCCACGCTGGCCTGCTTCGAAGTTTCATCTTCCTTCCCTCTCTTCTTAGGACTCTTCTTCTTTGTTTTCTTCGAACTCTGGGCTTTGCAGGAACCCAAAGTACCCGATAAGACTCAAAGAAAAGGGGGAATATCATCGGGGAAGAAGATGAACAGTGTCACGAGAGGTCAACGCCCACTGCTTCCAGTAGAGAGCGTGGATGGACGATTCCACCAATGGATGTGATCGACCAGAGATGAGGAACAGGAATCCAAAGTCAAAATGAAACGAAACCAAGAGAAGAAGCTCAATTGATATTGGCTATTGTAAAAACTGATTTACGTGAAAACCGCTGTTTTACATTAGTTACACGGGATATATATACATAAAGTCTCAGGCCTATGATTTACTTGGCCCAATACATAATAAACAAACATATACAAATATACTAGGCTAACACTCCCCCTCAAGTTGGAGCATGAATATCATGAATGCCTAACTTGGACAATAAGCAGCGGAAAAGAGGACCGGAGAGAGCCTTTGTGAAGATATCTGCCGTCTGAAAACGCGTAGGAACGTAAGCAGTGACGATATGGTTGCGCTGAAGACATTCTCGGACAATATGGCAATCAATATCGATATGCTTCGAGCGCTCATGAAAAACTGGATTGGCGGCAATGAACAAAGCAGACTTGTTGTCACAATACAAACGAGGAGTCGCTACACATGGAACATCTAAGGCCGCCAAGAGACCACGCAACCATCGGATTTCAGCACATGCGTTAGCCATAGCTCGATACTCAGCTTCGGCAGAAGACCTGGAGACTGTAGTTTGCTTCTTAGTACGCCATGAGACCGGAGAACCACCCAACAAAATGAAATAACCAATAACAGAACGACGAGTAAGGGGACACCTGGCCTAATCAGAATCAGAATAAGCAGTAAGGGCAAGATTACTGTCACTACGCAACAAGATACCCTGACCAGTTTGCCCCTTAAGATAACGGAGAACACGCAGAGCAGCATTCCAATGATCAAGACGTGGAGCCTGCATAAACTGAGACAATGTATGAACAGCATAACAAATATCAGGACGAGTAATGGTGAGATATAGCAAACGGCCCACAAGTCGACGGTATTTCTGAGGATCACGAATCTCAGAAATGGTGGATCGAGCTAAATTATGATTGACCAGTAAGGGCGTGTCCACTGGCTTGCATCCAAGGAGATTTGCCTCATCAATAATGTCAAGAGCATACTTACGTTGATTCAAGACCATACCGTCAGGAGATCGAGCACACTCGATACCCAGAAAGTAAGAGACCGGACCAAGATCCTTTAGATGAAAGCTATCATCCAAACATTTCTTGAAGGAAGTGCACAAAGACCTGTTATTACCTGCCACCAAAATATCATCAACATAAACAAGGACAACCACCATATCAGGGCCACGGTGGAGAACAAATAGAGTATGATCGGCATGGGCCTGACGAAACCCATATTGCCGCAGAGCCACACGAAGCTTAGTGAACCAATTACGAGGTGACTGGCGAAGGCCGTATAAGGACTTACGAAGACGACAAACCTTCCCTGGAAAAAGCTGAGTATAACCTGGAGGGATTTTCATATAGACCTCCTCCCGTAAATCCTCATGAAGGAAAGCATTATTGACATCCAACTGATCAACATACCAACCACGAGCCACTGCAACAGACAACAAAACACGAACGGTTGCCAATTTGGCAACAGGGGCAAAAGTATCAGTGTAGTCAACGCTCAGCTCCTGATGATTGCCCATAACAACAAGACGTGCTTTATCACGTTCTTTAGTGCCATCAGAATGATATTTGGTCCGGTATACCCACTGACAACCAAGAGCCAGGCGATTAGGAGGAAGATCTACAACGTCCCAAGTATGATTCTGCTCCAGAGCCAAATATTCAGTGGCCATAGCCTCACGCCAAGAGGCATACTGAATAGCTTCACGAACTCCAAGAAAACCCTTATACCTGTCATGCAACTTAGAATAATGAACAAAGTTAGTAATAGGAAACCGAGTACGAGATTGTGAAGAACATGAGGAGACCGGAGCCGGAGTGACAATCTTTGCGGTATTGAGAACATAATCGTTAAGGTGGGACGGACGACGACGTGTGCGAGGCGGAAGGGATGGAAGTATGGGCGATGGAGAAGTGGTCTCCACCGAAGAAGACTCGGGGCTGTCGTCCTCATCGGAAGAAGTGGAGGGACTGGCAGACTCCGGCGTGGACGTGGACGGGGACTGGACGGCGGGCTGCTGGGTCGCCAGAATGACTAGGACGACTGGACTGGTGGACGCCGGTTGGGTCGCCGGTACGACAGGGGGGGTAGGGACGGGGGGAACAGTGAAATCGGACAGAGAGGGAGAGAGGAGAGGTTGAGAGCCAGACGAGGGAGTGGGGATGGCGAACGGAAATACGGTTTCATCAAAGGAAATATTCCTCGTGTGGAAAAAACGATGTGTGTCAAGATTATAGACTCTCCACCCTTTGGTACCGTATGGATAACCGAGAAACACACATTTAACACTTCGGGGATGTAATTTATTTTTGGGTTTAGGAACAGGATGGACAAAACAAAGACACCCAAACACCCGAAGATGACTTAAATCTTGAGGTTTGGAGGAAAGAATTTCAAGTGGTGACTTGCCCCCAAGAATTTTTGTGGGAGTACGATTGATTAAATAAACAGCCGTTTTGACACATTCACCCCAAAATTCAAGTGGAAGAGATGCCTGAAACATAAGGGATCGGGCCACATTCAGTATATGACGATGTTTTCGTTCTACCCGCCCATTTTGTTGTGGGGTACCAACACAAGATGTTTGAATACACACACCCAAGCTCTCATAATATTGACGTAAAGAGGAATTGAGAAACTCAGTACCATTGTCAGAACGAACAATTTTAATTATTTTGGAATATTGGGTGTGGATCATTGTGAAAAATCAGCGTAAACAATAAGTAACTTCACTCTTTGATTTAATCAGATAAACCCAGACAGCCGGAGAGAAATCATCAACAATTGTCAAAAAATAATGTGCCCCAGATGAGCTGCACGGTGAATAAGGCCCCCATAGATCACAATGAATTAAATCAAAAATAGCATCAGCTTTATTATCACTAACACGAAACGGAGAACGAGTTTGTTTGGAGAAAAAACAAATTTCACAAGACTGTAATTTTTGGATAACAGACTGTGTCTTATTAGTACCAAGAAAAGGAAGAACATCGACGGAGGGATGGCCCAGCCGTTGATGAAGAACAAAAGGATCGATATTGGCTACGAGTGCTGACGCAGGAACGGATGCAAAGACATACACGCCATTTCGCAAATCACCCTGTCCAATCACCATCTGCGACGAACGGTCCTGTATTACACAACGATGATCATTAAAAGTTACATAACAGGTATTGTCACGAATTAAACATCCAACAGAAATCAAGTGACAATGTAAGTGTGGTACGTATAACACATTCCGCAGTCCCAAACGAGATGACAAATGCACACTTCCCTGTTTGACGGCCCGAACACGAGACCCGTCAGGGAGACAAATGGAGTGAGGAGAGACATCCTCAACATTAAATAAGTGAGCAAGAGAACCTGTCATGTGGTGCGAAGCTCCACTGTCAATTAACCAGTCAGAAGAAGAATTACCAGTGTACGTATGAGATGCCGACGCCTCCAACATCGACATTAATCGAGACATTTGATCACTGAGATTGCCACTTGAATCAGAGATAGACGCATGGACCGCAGCGGGGTTGCTGCTGCTGCCTCCCTGGACTGCCTGGCCACTGCCGACGGGGTTACTGCCACTGCCTCCCTGGACCGCCTGCCCACTGCCGGCAGGGGTGTTGCTGCCGTACCGAGGACCACCGCGACCACCAGAGAAGGACCCCCCGCGGCTGCCACGACCTCGCCCCCCACCACAGGCGAATTGAGATGGAAATCCAATGAGCTCAAAACATGTGTCAATGCTATGATTAGTACGACCACAGTGTGAACAAGACGGTTTATTCGGTACTGGGAGGCGTTTGTCCTGTTTCGCGGCAAAAGCAACAGAGTCCGTACGATCATCACGAGTACGAATGATATGGCAATGACGCTCCTCTTGAGTAACCAAGAAGTATGCACGATCAAGATCGGGCACCGGTTCGGTACCAATGATTTGGGAACGGATATTACCAAACTGTTCATCATCCAAGCCGAGTAAAAAATCCACTGTTTTGTCACGTTCAATACGGGCACGTGTGACCCCAGCAGCCTCACACCGACAGCCCCCGGTGAGGTCAGAAGAGCCGTATAGTTGGTTCCACAGAGTGATAAACTGGTTGTAATACGAAACGACGCTTTGACCCTTCTGACGTTTAGCATTTAACTCAGACTTTAACTGATACACACGAGGCCCATTTGAACAACTATATCGTTTCCTCAAATCATCCCACAACTCATAAGCAATTGAATGAGAAACAATACTCGGTTGGATAGATTCATCAACACTGTTAAAAATCCAACTACAAATGATTTGATGATTAGCACACCACGCAGACAACTCATGTTCATCAGTAGGTTTGGTAATCCCTACGGACGACAAAAAAATAGACTTTCCACGGCCACCTAATGCATTACGAATTGCCTTTTCCCAAATATCAAAATTGTCACTTTTGAGGAGGTATTTTGTCAAAGAATTACCTGGACCTTCGGAGGGATGAAGGTAATATATGGACGACGGATCATGGATCAACCTTGTCTTTTTAGGGTTTGACGTAACTTCACCGGACATGATGGTGATCGACGAGGGACAGGCTGCAAACGAACGGCGAGACAGACCAACGAGGGAGAGGACCTGACGAACTCCTACTCCTACGCACCAGACGGAAGACCAGCGAGGGGGAGAGACTATCGCCGAGGAAGACGACGGCGTACGAACGACGTGAGCGCAAGGGTTTGACGAATAGCCCTAGGACCGCTCTGATACCATGTAAAAACTGATTTACGTGAAAACCGCCGTTTTACATTAGTTACACGGGATATATATACATAAAGTCTCGGGCCTATGATTTACTTGGCCCAATACATAATAAACAAACATATACAAATATACTAGGCTAAGAGCTATGGTGACGGTTTACTGTAGAACAACGTTCCCAAATCGCCAGGGAGAAATCTCGGCCAAGATTGAAATCTCTTTGTAAACCTACCGATTATAGTAACTCTCCTCCTTGTCGATTTTATTTCTTGTTTTTTTAGAGTATTTCTGTTTGTGCATGTTCAATTGTTCCACCCTTTATAAAAAAAATTGTTCAATCCTTGATTTTCAGATCTTCGATCGACCAGATTGTGATACGACATCTACTTTGGCAACAGGTACTCGTTTTTAGATCGTGGCCTCAATTTGGATTTGTTGAATGAATTCTTTAAACTATTGTTTGAATCTGCAGTGCATCGTAGATCTCTAGATTTTACTACATAGTTTTCTAAGGTAATTTGTTGAAGTTTTTGGGTTAGCTACCTTCATGTTGGATTCTACCGATTGCTTACCTATTGTTTGTTTTTGATCTAAAGACACTAACACCATGTTTGGTTCAAGGAATTTGAAAGGGAAAAGAAAAGAAAATGAACTGGAAAACAGTTTTTCAAGTTTGGTTGGGGGAAAACTGCTAAGAAAAAGAAAATGAGAAAACAAATGTACTAAGTGGAGGAAAACCAAATTTCTCCCATTTTGGTGAGGAAAATGAGAAAAAATCAATTTCTTTTCTTTTCCTTTCCAAATCTTTGAACCAAACATAGTGTAAGAGAATTAATTTGATTGGTTGTTCGGCAGTTGGCTTCTTAAGGGTTTTTGTTTTGGTCGAGTTTTTTATTTTAATGTTGTTTGTTATTGTTAGTCATATGAAATTCAAAAGCTTGATGATTTAATTATTTTATTGGAACTTTTAAATAATACTACCTCTGTCTGTCCCGCTATATTCGTCCACTTTTGACTTTTGAAACCGTTCATCAAAGTACTTTGATTCATCAAATTCTCTCAATGTGTAAGCCTAAGTATAGTCATGTGTAATCTTGTTTGATTTGTCTTAACATATAGATTATTAATCACAAATTACAAGATAAAATGGATTAAAGAAGTGTATTGGATGATGTGTAAAAATGAAAGTGGACAAATACTCTATGACGGAGGGAGTATTATTTTTGGAGTATTCAAATTTTGAATCAGTTTCGAATTCAAAATACTAAGATGTTAATGATTTTATTGGAACTTCCATGTAAGACTATTTTTGGAGTATTAGGATTGAATCATTATGGTTTTAGAACAAAAGATAGGAATAAGATTATGCTGTTATGAAATTAATGATTGTTCATTTATTCAATTAATCAGGCCTAATTTTTAGAATAGTAGATTAAGACACTCATTGATGAGTATCAATTTAGTACAGTCCTTTCCACTTGTATTTGTATTCATACTAAGCCTCTCCACTATAAATAGAGGCTTAATCACTGCATTGTAATGACTATTAAGAATAAGAAGAAGAGTGAAGAATTAATAGAGAGAAGAAATCAGAAATATATTATATCTATTCTCATAATCTCTAAGTAGTTTTTCTCTCATTTTATAACACGTTATCAGCACGAATTTGCTCAAAATCCTAGAATCCTTGTTCTTCTCAGAAGGTATATTTATTTAATTTTCTTCATAAACAAACTAAAATATTTTATCAAAAAACTATAAGAAGTATGCTCTGTGATTGCCCAAGATTGGGATCCTTCACACCAGAAACTTATAGTTAATATAAATTGTGAAAAATATACTCCGCAATTAATCAAAAAATTTAAATCCTCACATCATAAATTTGTATTTTTAGAAAAATAAAAGTTGAATCATTTTTATTTCTCCTAGGATAATGGAATAAACAAGAACGGCTAAGGTTAAAAAAATAAAAAAATAAATAATAACAAACTTTACCTCTGAAACAAGTTTTTTTTTCTTCTCATATGTTCTTAGACATTAATCTCTTTCTTTTTCCATACCTTTTGCAATACTTCGTACTATTTTAAAAGTAGAGGTGGAGTGGAAATCCTACATCTTATTCTAATATTTGTATACTCCGTATATATTTTCAACTAAAACTAGTGCTACTATATAATTGTAAAGGACCATGCTACACTTACACCAAAAAATATACTCCATTTGTACACCACAGGTTTGCACAAACATTTCGATGGTTTACACCGACACAAGTGTTGGTGCGTTAATAAAAATTCACACGGACACAAATGTTGGTGCATTTAACAAAAATTAGTTTTACACCAACACAAAGTGTTGGTGCAAAACTCCGGGGTACAAATTGGGGTACAAAACTTGGGGTACACATAGCATAATCCAATTCTAAAGGACCATGCTACACTTACACCAAAAAATATACCACATTTGTACACCACAGGTTTGCACAAACATTTCGATGGTTTACACCGACACAAGTGTTGGTGCGTTAATAAAAATTCACACGGACACAAATGTTGGTGTATTCAACAAAAATTAGTTTTACACCAACACAAAGTGTTGGTGCAAAACTGCGGGGTACAAATTGGGGTATAAAACTTGGGGTACACATAGCATAATCCAATTGTAAATTGAGAATAATTACAAGAGACACGGAATCCAAAGTACATGATATGTCTATATTCAAATGTATTTGAGATTCCTTATCTTTTACGGAGTATGTGGTAAATAATTTATCTTTAAAAAAAAATTAAAAAAAAACAAACATGATTAGATATGCTTGGTTCTCAATGTTTGTCTGCTAGTATGTGAGAGGAGAGAGTAGAGGTTTGATGCTCTATTCCCTATTTCAAATGGAAGACGTTGGTGCGTTAATAAATATTCACACGGACACAAATGTTGGTGCGTTTAACAAAAATTAGTTTTACATCAACACAAAGTGTTGGTGCAAAACCGCGGGGTACAAATTGGGGTACAAACCTTGGGGTACACATAGCATAATCCGTCTCCTTTTATTTGATTGTTTTTTCAAAATGAAATAAAATAAAAAATAAAGGGAATCAAACTTTTTTTGTGTAAGTTAAGGGAAAAGAACTGCAGGCTCACAGTCTGACATTTTTTATTTATATTGTGATCTTACCTTTGATTTGTTTTAAAGCTCTTGAATAATCAATACTACTCCATACGTTTGGCAATTTTTTATTTGGTAAAATAATTTCTTTTCTACACCTATTCACTTAGTTTAAAAAAAAACAATATTAATAAAATTAAAATTTATTGTTTTGTAGTTTCCATGGCCAACATCACCAAAAGAGAATTCGACATTCTTGATTTATCCGGTCTAAGGTACTTGGAATGGAGGGTTGATGCACTTGCTCACCTCAAGGCTAATGGTCTTGAAAATACAATTGCTGAAAATAATACATTATCATCTCAGCAAAAGGCAAAAGCCATAATTTTCCTTCGCCACCATCTTCATGAAAGTTTAAAATCTGAATATCTATTGGTGGAAGATCCGAAGGAATTATGAGATAATCTCCAAGAGAGATATGGACATCAACAAAAAGTCCTATTGCCAAGAGCTCAATATGAATGGGTCAATCTAAGATTCCAAGATTTTAAGTCCGTTTGTGACTATAATTCTGCTATTTTCAAAGTCACGTCCACATTAAAATTATGTGGACATAATATCACGGATCATGACATGTTGGAGAAATTTTTTCCACCATGCATATGTCAAATGTGATATTGCAGCAACAATACATAGAAAGGGGCTTTAAAAAGTATTCTGAGTTAATCTCAATATTACTTATTGCAGAGCAGAATAATGAGCTCTTAATGAAAAATCATAACATGAGGCTAACCGGTTGTACCCCTACAAATTTTGGTAAACTTGATCGTGGTTCAGCACCAGAATCAAATGTTGTCCAAGGTGGTGCACATGGACATTTTAAACGTGGCCGCGGAAATAACCGCAACAAAGGGCCGAACATGGGCTATAAAAATCCAAATGGATCATCCTCCAAGGGAAAAGGAAAATTCAAACCACCACAGGCTAAAACTCATGAAAAGCCAAAACCAAGTGGTGAATGCTATAAATGTGGCAGAAAAGGACATTGGGCTAATGAATGTCGAACGGCAAAACATTTGGTGAAATTATACCAAGCTTCCACAAAAGGAAAAGGAAAAAATGTGGAATCTAATTATGCCGATGATATCAATCCAATTTTGCCTAAATTTGATGTGTCTGATTTCTACATGGATGATGCTGAAATTGGTGATGAAGTGGCCTTTGGTGGAACAACTACTTGTTTAAATATTTTAATTTACGCTGTTATGGTGTGTTTACTTTTAAAATAAATGTTTAAAATCTGTACTTTAATTTTCATATGTACTTGTATTATTATGTACTCCCTCCGTCCCAGAGTATTTGTCCACTTTCATTTTTATACACCATGAAATGCACTTCTTTAATCCATTTTATCTTGTAATTTGTATATTAAAAAATTATAGAAATTATATATTAATAATCTATATGTTAAGACAAATCAAACAAGGTCACACATGACTATATTTAGGCTTACACATTGAGAGAATTTAATGAGTCAAAGTGCTTAGATGAACAGTTCCAAAAGTCAAAACTGGACAAATACTCTGGGACAGAGGTAGTATGATTTAAAGCTTATAATAAAATGTGTGATATTTATGTTAATTATCTTGAACTTATTTATATATTCATTGGTATTCAAGATAGGGAGATAACTGCTTATGGCTCTAGTGGCAAAGAACAATGTCTAATTGACAGTGCCACAACGCACACCATTTTGAGAAACAAAGAATATTTTTCTCAAATGACATTGATGGAAACAAATGTCAATACAATCTCTGTTGTTGCAAAGCTCATTGAAGGGTCTGGAATGGCTTGTTTAATCCTTCCCCAAGGAACAAAATT